AACAGGGGAAGATCAAAATCAAAGAACAGAAGCAGGAGTAATTCAAGGCCTGATAAACAAGTAATTTGCTGGAACTGTGGCAAAATTGACTATGGATGACTGGATACTGGATTCAGGGGTTTTTTCCATACAACTTCCCTTCGGAAATTGATGCGAAATTATGTTGCAGATGACTTTGGGAAAGTATATCTGGCAGATGAAGAAGCTTTGAACATGGTAGGAATGAGAAATATTGACATTGCACTTCCAAACAAGAACAAGTGGACTCTGCAAAACAAGAACAAGTGGACTCTGCAAAACGTCAGACACATTCCTGAACTGAAGAACCTCATTTTCGTTGGGCAGCTTGATTAGTGTGGACATTCAGTAGTGTTCTCAGATAGCACCTGAAATGTTACTAAAAGAGCACTGGTACTGACTTGGGATAAAAAAACAGGTACGCTGTATATGACTGTTGGTTTAATTAACAGTGTTGCTACTACTGTTGCAGAATGCACAGCAGAGTTGTGGCATTGCAGACTTGACCACATGAGTCAGAGAGCTATGAAAGAACTTCAGTCCAGAGGTAAGCTACCAGAAGGTAAGCTACCAGACCAGAACTGAAGTTAGTTGATCTCGACATCTATGAGAGTTGCATTATGGGGAAGCAGAGTGGGGAAGCAGAGGAATGTCAGTTTCATGAAAGGTGGCATGACGCCAAAGACATGAAAGCTAGATCTTGTACACACAGATGTGTGGGGTCTTTTTCCAGTGACATCTCTTGGAGGCATCTTTTGAAGACTGTCGTTATTACATCGCATTCATTGATGATCATAACAGAAAGTATGAGTTTATTTCTTGAAGTATAAATCTGATGTATTCAGTGTGTTCAAAACTTGGAAGGCTATGGTTGAGACAGAGACATGCTAAAAGCTGAAATTTCTGAGGTCTGATAATGGTGGTGAGTACATTGATGGTGAGTTCAAGGAGTACTATGCAGCTCAGTGCATTAGAATGGAGATGACCACTCCAGGAACACCGCAACTAAGTGACTAAAAGTATGAGATTGCACGCCAAACTACCACCTACTTTCTGGGCAGAAGCGGTCAACGCTGTAGTTTATTTGATCAACAGGGGGGTCATCTGCTCCATTAAGCTGTGAATTACTTGAAGAAGTCTGGAGTGGGAAAGAGGTAAAATTTTCTCACCTTAAGACTTTTGGATGTCTTTCTTATATTCTCATTAATCCTAATGCTCGAAGTAAGCTTGAGGCTAAGTTAAAGAAGTGTTATTTCATTGGCTATGAAGATAAAAAACATTTGGATATCGCATTTGGATATCGCTTCTGGGGTGACCAAGGTCGTGAAAATCATAAGGAGCAGGAACGTGATTTTCAATGAGAAGGTTATGTACAAGGACAAGACCAGTGCAGTTTCTGAAACAACATTGCAGGAATCTGAGTTGGTAAGATTTGATGATTTACCAGAAGTTACATTGCAGGGCAGAGATGCAGGTGATGAGGAGAGTGGATCTGCGACATCCACTTCTATTTTTTCACAGTCAGTTTCAGAGCAGTCTACCCCTACAGTTGCAGTTCGCAGGTTAGAAATAGCTAGACGTTCTCCACAATGTTATTCTCCACATTGAACTACATTCTGCTGGCAAATGGTGGACAACCTCATAGTTATGAAGAAACCTTACAACATGAAAATTTAAGCAAGTGGGACCTAGCCATGAAGGAGGGGATGGATTCTCTGCTAGAAAATCAGACTTGGGAGTTGACAGAACTTCCATCTTGGAAGAAGTCATTACACAACAAGTGGGTGTACCGGATGAATATTGAGCATGATGACCGTAAAAGGTACAAGGCTAGACTTGTTGTAAAGGGTTTTCAACCGAAGCACGGTATTGATTATTCCGAGATTTTCTTTCCTGTGGCGAAGCTTACAACCATCAGAATGGTACTGTCTATGGTGGCTACTGAATATCTCTTCCTTAAGTAGTTAGGTGTGAAGACAGCCTTTCTTCATGGGGATCTTGAAGAAGACATCTACATGCACCAACCTGAAGGGTTCGTGGTACAGGGAAAGGAAGAATTAGTTTGCAGATTGAAGAAGAACTTGTATGACCTGAAACAAGCTCCTAGACAGTGGTACAAGAAATTTGATAATTTCATGCACAGTGTAGGTTACAGCAGATGTCAGACAGATCACTATTGTTATGTCAGGTATTTTAACAATTTCTTTATCATGCTACTGCTGTATGTGGATGATATGCTTATTGCAGGTGCTAGTATTGATGAGATCAATAATCTGAAGGAGCAGATGTCAAAACACTTTGCAATGAAAGATTTGGGAGAGATTTGGGAGCGAGCGGTAAAGCAAATCCTTGATATGAGAATTGTCAGAGATAGAGTCAGAGGCATATTGAGACTCTCTCAGGCTGAGTATGTGAAAAAAATACTTAGCACGTTCAACATGGATAAGGCCAAACCAGTTGGCAAACCCTTGTGGGAAGTCACTTCAGACTCAGCAAGAATCAGTCACCCAAGTCAGAGGAGGAACGAGGTCACATGAGTAAGGTTCCTTATGCTTCAGCTACTGGTTCACTTATGTATGCTATGGTTTGCACCAGACCTGATATTTCCCATGCAGTGGGAGTTGTTAGCAGATACATGAGTAATCCAGGAAAGGAACATTAGGAAGTAGTGAAGTGGATCTTGAGGTACCTAAGAGGCTCTTCAGAAACTTGTGTTTATTAGGAAAGAGTTCAGAGGTACAAGGCTATGTTGATGCTGATCTAGCTGGAGACATTGATACCAGAAGAAGTACTACGGGCTATATTTATACTATTGGTGGCACTGCAGCATCATAGGACTCTAATTTGCAGAAGATAGTTTCGTTGTCTACTATAGAAGCCGAGTATATGGCAGTGTCGGAGACTGCAAAGGAGATGATATGACTATAAGGTTTCTTGGAGGAATTGGGCAATAAAAATCAGCAGGGCATTATTTATAGTGATAGTCAGAGTTTCATATTCTTTGTCAGGAATCCAGCATTTTAGTTCAGGACTAAGCACATTCAGATCAGGTATCACTTCATAAAGTTATTGTTGGGATGTCGGACAGTTATTGCTTGAGAAATTTTGTGGAAGCAAGAACTCTGTTGATATGTTGACAAAGTGTGTTACTCTAGAGAAATTGAAGTTGTGCGCAGCTTTAGTTGGTCATCTAGCTTGAAGACCCGGTCTTGAATTGCAGAGGTGGAGGATAACACATTTGAAGAAAAATGGTGACGCTGCCAGTGGAGGATATCAGTTTGAGGAAGAAGTTGGAGTCTGTGTACCGGTCTCCAGTACCGGTCTCCAAGTGGGAGATTTGTTGAGGTGGAGCCCGGTTCACAAAAAAGAAAAAAAAAGAAAAATACTTGTTTCCCGCTCCCGCCTCTCTCTCCCACTACCGCCTCTCTCTCTCCCACTACTGCCTCTTCAGTTCGCGAAACAAAAAGGCTTGCCTTCTTCAGTTCGAAAACAGGAAAGTCGCTCCTCCCTTTCGCGAAACAGTAAGATCGCTCCTTGGTATTCCTCTTCGGCAGGTGTGAACAGGAAGAGTAGCGCAGCGAATAGAAGGAATCTCCGACAAAAAAAAAAAGATGTTTTTCGCAAGGTGCTCTCTCTTAGTTGTTTCTGCGTGCTTTGCAGAAGAAAGAAGAAAATAGTGGAAGAAGAATGTTGCTTTCTTTGATTTCTTCTTGGTGGCTTTTGGCAGAAGAGAAATAGGTTTTTTCTCCTGTACGTTTTTCTTCTTTTTTGGTGTATTTCGTTGTAAAGAGAGAAGAAGAGTAAATGATAGGGAAGTTTTCTCTTGTAATTGTCGAAGGGATCGACTGGTGTAAATTTCTCAATTAGTAAAATCATCTGCAACTCCGTCATCTGCAACTCCGTGGATGATTTGCCGAACCACGTAAATTTGTGTATTCTTTTCTTGTGTGATTTTTTTTGTTCTATTTTTCACTTCGTCGTTGATCATTCCATTTCAATATACCACAACAACCCTCTCGTTTTCTTAAATGAGCCTAGAACGAAGATTCTTTCCGGATGATCTTTAACTAGAAAAATTATCTCTTCAGCTTGTTACTTAAGCTTTGAAAAGGATGAACTAGCTTCATCAAGTCTCAACCATCTTGTTGCACATAGGGCCTGTCTTTTCTAAGGAGCGGTCATTCATGACTTTCTAACATAGGTTGATATCTCATGATCATAGATCCCGAAGTTACCTGACCTATCCTAAACTTTCCAATTTCTGGTTAACTTCCTCAATTGGTGGTTTACGGTAATTTGAATCAGTGAAATGATTATTTCATGTTTTCCTTCTCTCCTAAACTAAATAGTTTAGTCATTTGCGAAGAACGAGTGAAACACTAAGATAAAACAGTTAAAACTCCACAGAATCCCTAAAATTCCCTTCAAAAATGAGTTCCAACTGGTAGGAATTTTCTTTGATGACTAATTTATAAGCTATTACAACCCCTTTAACCGACAATATTTGTCAAGAGATGCACCGGTGAATTTGCGGGCACAATTAAGAAAATGCTGAATATTACATAACTTTAGGGCTTCTTGGGTGTAATTGTGAATAATACTTCATTCGAAACTAAATTACTAGACTCCATAACTTGGATTGATGCATTGTACATTTGAGCTCGTTGATTCCATCTATTTGAGCTGATCTTGCCAACGCATCAAAGTTAGTCCAAAGTCATTTATCTTTATGGTTGTTGCTTAGTGGAGTTACATAAAGAAATTAGTGGAGTTACATAAAGAAGTTATTGACAAATCTTACATTGCAAAATATTTGATATTATCATCTTCAAGATTGTTGCCCATATAATAGCGTGGAAATTCTTTATATTATCATGTCTTTCAAATGACACCTCAAATATATTAATTTTTGAAGTTATTGTCTGATGGCTGCCATCCTTCATATTTATTCTGATAAATAAGACCTTGTTCGAATGTTGCAGAGATCCAATAATGAGAAAGAGAAGGTATTCTCTCAATGTTTAAGAGCAAATCGTCATTTCTATAGTTGAGAAGTTGTAGACTTTTTGTTGATTGAAAAGGCTACATAAAATTCAGATCTTTTAATTCTTTCGGTACTCGTACTTTGAACAGGCACTAAGAACTTTGTTTTGACAGGAGACAGCAAAACATTCGAATTACCCCTGCAAGCCGTATTTGCTCTGCCTGGAGTTGGAATCTCGTTCCGGTGCTACATTGATATTCTTTTCAATCAATCGCCACTTCACTAAAATTTGGCACGGATTTTCTGGTTGATAAAATGACTGCCTTTTTCCTACAATAAATCAATTTTTTTCAACTAAATTTTCCTAAAGATTGTTTGGAAAGTTTTGAGCCTTTTTTTTTTCTTATTGTTGTAATGTCTAACTTGAGGATTGACAGAAAATCCGGCCAACCGGACAGGAAGGTAAAAACAGTAAAAAGCTTTATTCTTTAATTTATTTTTTTTATTTTAATAGGTTTATACTATTTAAGCACATTGTCGTTTTCTAGATCTGTGAAATTTATAAGTTGTGGCTTTTCAAGGGAATTTATTTGATTAATTAAGAAAGAATTTTTTTATTATGATGAATAGAAAGTCATCAGACCAAAATCATAATAGTAATTTGTTTATTGAAAAAAATTTGCGAGCATGCATTTAAGGCTTGCTTTTAGGGCTCACTTGGTTGAGCTATTGATATTGGCTGTAGCTACAGCTGGCATTTTTTTTTGAACGCCTTGTTATGTTTGCATTTTAAAACTAAAATAAATAGCTGAATATTTGTTGGTTAAATTTATTACTTTTTAATTTTAAGGTTAAAATTAGTTTGCATGTGCACAAATATATATAGGCACACACACAGAGCTTGAGGCCAACAAGAATAGGACTAAGTGATTCGAGTATAAAGGCTAACTCAAACAAACAAGAATAGGATTAAGTGATTCGAGTATAAACTAATCGATTGGAAATGAGTAGGAAAGTACCTGGACTGTTAACTACAAGAACGCTTACTCGATGTAGTAGCCTATCCCGTAGTAGAGTTGACCCAATAGAAGAGTTAGTTTCACAAAATATCCTTGACCATCTAACACCAAAAGAATCCTTACCAAAGATTGAAGATAGTTAGCAGGACTAGATCAGTCGATCGAACCCCACTGATTGAGTTTAGTTGACCAAGCCGACTCATCGAGATAAGTTAACTAAGCTTAGTCGGTCGAGCCAAAAGGCAATTAGATGATAAGTTATTGCTTGTAAATACCTTAAATACCTCAGTACAAATTCTCTCTAAATGAAAGTAAAAGAGTAGTATCTATAAATAAGGAAATTATTTAATGAAAGATCAACATTATTTTTATCATTCATTTCTCTCTCTCTCTCTCTCTCTCTCTCTCTCTTATTTACGCTTTGTTCATTGGTTGTAATTCACAGCTAATCTCAGATTCAATATCTTAAAAGATGAGGTGATTGTAGATCATGTTACTAACAAGAAGCGTAATGCAAGAAGTAGAATCTCACAATCGGGAGACCGACAATGACATGAAGTGCACCAAGATTTGTGTACAATAGATCTAAGGTCTGAAGGATCAAATGTTAGAGATGATAAGAGTCGTGCTAAATTGGGAGCAGGATTAACAAACCTGATATGTTGTTCTTACGTTAAACTTTAGAAGAGTCATCGCATAAGAGATTACAACTCTCCCCTCCCAACTTCATTTATAACCAAACAAACCAACGGTCACCCACTAAAAGGAGCCAACCATGGAGAATGGTAGAAACTAAGACAAGATCCTTGCCTTTCTACCTTGGCATGCTTCAAAGACTTACGAGCACCCCCAGATGACCATGTTGTTGGTTGAACTCATCATCAAGGTGGTCAAACCTGGTATCCTGAATGGTGGTAGGCTCAATATGTGCTGCGACAGCCACCGACTTACGAGAGCCACAACTAGACTCTTTTAAGGGTCTCAATGGTTGAAATCATGGAGTCATACAAAATAATGACTATTTCAAATATGCAACTCCGATGAAAGCTAAAGCTTATTTTTAAGACCTAAAAGATTATTGCATTTATAATCATGAACACTGTCAAGGAATTGAAGAGTGTTAACATCAATGAAGTCTAATCAGATATTTGATCAAAGTTGGGAAATTGAAGGATTTTGTAGCCCATGGAGCAACCACTGAACCACGAGGAAAAACTCATATTGTAGAAATTACAAGTGATTAAGTCCTAGCCCAGTGATACACATATCATGCACAATTCCTACCATCTTCGGAGGTGATGGAGGATAGCCAACCCATTGAGCCAGCTCTTAGATGGGTGAATTGTGTGCAGTTTCCTTAACATCGCAATGCAGATCACACCCTCTCATCTCTAAAACTAACAAAAGCTTATCTCTAATGGGAAATCTATACAACGAGGCTATCGTCGTCATCGCCCTAATCGCCAATTTTTAAATTGGTTGCATACTCATTGATTCTTAGAGCATGATGAGCATCATCTTCAAGTTGGTATTTGACAAAATGCGAGGAACCCTTGCCCAGCTAGTCAAATGAGAAACAATTCACCAACATTGCTGACTTCCTCATAGTCGACTTTCTGCCTACATACAATGTAATTTTCAGTAGCCCCTCGCTCAATTTCTTTAGAGCCGTCGCCTCCACATACCATGTAGCTGTTAAATTTCTGCAAGATGGACAGATGATCACTGCCCAAGGCAACTGGGAACAAACTCACACAAGTTATCTTTGTGTAGTTAGGAGCGTTCAGCAAGAGCATCTCCTACATGACTTTTAGTAAGGAGAAGGCCTTGAGACCAGCGAGCCAGCCCAAAAAATCCCTGCGGTCGACGGCGACATTGACAAAATTTTTTGACTGATTGATGCCTTTGATGTATGTCATAGGGAAGAGCTAATCAAAACTCTTCAAGATCATCAAGACGACATTTCCTGGTCAGTCGTTGAGATGCTAAGGGTGTTGATCTATGTAGTCTGTCCTTGGGTAAATGTCAATTAAGTGATCTAACCCATGAAGCAGAAAATGAGGATGATTGTGGTCACATTAGCCGAAGATATTTGAGAAAAGATGTAAAAGTTGTTAGAAGTCGACTACATCCGAGAAGTCCAAAACTTGGGATGAGTATTGATCCAACATAAAATTACTTATTTTTATGCACATTTATGCTCAATTTTTTAGGATATTGTGCTTTAATAAAAGGTATTTTTATTTTTTTGGTTACAGGTGCAAGAAAAATAGTTTAAGAGTAAAAAAGAGCAAAAATACATAAAATAGGAGCAAAATGAGCTAAACTAAAGAAAAGAATGCGAACCAGCCGAACTGGCGCCTAGGCGCTAGATATACAGAACTTGGTTGGCGCCTAGACGCAAGGGTTTGGTGCCTAGGCACCATTGTTATTTTCTAGAAGATTCATTAAATAAGACTAAATTTTGAAGATTACTGAAGCAACCCTTGGTCATTTTCGAAGCTCTATAAATACAGATTAATTCAGAGGCTAGGGGAGTCGGATCTATATAGTCACTTAGTGTGTGAGTGTGTTAAGTGTGAGAAATTTTCTTTGTGAATCTGTTATTTCTGGAGTTTGTGAGTCTTGTAAGTGTTGTTGGAGTCAGAGAAGTTAGAGAATTTCAAAAGAGTGCTTGGGGGAACATTCAAGATATGTATTTGTATGTTTGTTTTTAAGTTTTTTACTTTAAATTTGAGTTTTATAAATATATTTTATTTTATTATCCCCATACATTATGAGTAGTTTTCTCTCTTTCTCCTTGCAATATGAAGTAATTAAGTAAGTGATTTTGATTTTGTTTAGAACTTCTTTTATTTCTAAAAATTGTGATGATATTTTTATCAAATCTTCATTTAATTTACAAATTGCCCACTTGTACTGTTAAAATTTGTTGAAGAAACTTGTAGACCCGAGAGGGCTAAGATTTATTAACTTGTAAGTATCACATTCTATCTAGGAAAGAGTAGTGGCGATCGTCCGAAGGGGGTTGCAAATAGATAGGGAGATAAGATTGGATGGGCGTAGAGTTGATGTTTCTAGAGTGATAGGTTAGATTCTTTTATCAATTTGGTCTCGAGATTGAAACTAATGGTTACTGGTAGGTCTTATAGAGAGAGCACAGTGGATAATCTAGAAGTGAGAGGGTATAAACTACCCAACACTACTATACATGTCATCACCAGCTTTAAATTAGTCAATGTTTTTTACACAATTTGAAAGAAGTAAATAATATATATGTATGCTCCTATTTGTCACAATACTACACTTAAGTTTCTAAATAATTTTGAAATCATATATTGACTATGAATTATTTGCAAGAATAAATTTACTTTTTTTATATTGTTTAAGTCATTACATTTAGTTTTACTTGTATTTTGCAGAAATTAGTAAACTTAATTTTCATCTTTAGATAGTTGCTACAGTCTTAAGTAAAGTTTTCTTAAAATTAAAATTCCTGAATTTCATTTCATTGTTTTTTCATTTACGTTTTTTCTGTAGGATCGATACTAAGGTTTTTAAAAAAAATTTTGTATTTCTTGAAATGATATGTATACTTGCGTAGTACCCTGATACACCTAAAATATATACTCTTTATGTACACATTTTTATACATATTTTTGAGATTTTTTTTTGCTTTAATAAAATGTATTTGTGTGTTTTTCTTTCAGGTAATGGATGATAAATGGTGAATAGATTGAAAAAGGATCAAATTTGAGCAAAAATGAAGGTGTGCAAAAGAACTATGGAGCCTAAGCGCCCAGAACTGACACTTACACGTCGGAAAAACTGAGAAGGCCGCGCCTAAGTGCCTAACACTTTGCGCTTAAGCGCTAGAAGTAGTTACTTAGCGATTCAATGAATTTGGATGAATTTTTGAAGAGGTATTTGAAGCAACCTTGGGTGAAAACATGAGAAATAGTTAATGGACACAAAAATATATTCAATTGGTTTTTGAAAGTAGGAAAGTCTTGGAAAATTCTTTGAATGTAAATACATTTTGAAGAGACAGCAAGACACCTTTTGAAAAATTAT